CTGTCTCAACAGGTTAGATAGGGTGGGTACATTCCAGGTCCCCTTTCTTAAATGATGATGGTATCTTGGGTGCAATTTTTTTCTGTGCCCCCCCCAGCTTTTTGGAAAAGAGCCCCACTTGAGATCCAAGGGATCCCTTTCTTTCTATCAGAATTCTGCCTTTTGCTTTGTTTTTGTTCTTGCTACACTTTGCTATGAAGGAAGAAGGAAATATCCCAGTTAGGGATGTGCACATTTCAAGGCGGCTTCCAAAGATGGCTTTAAAACTTGAGCAACCACAACAGCACTTTTATGCCATTCAAGCATAGAATACATTTTCAAGGCTCCACACCAGCCTCCCCCCGCCCCGAAAAATAGAGAGAAAAGCTGCTGTTGTTGCCTTAAGAGGCAAAGTCAATGATTAATGTGACTCTTAACTATATTAATGATGGCAATTATTTGATTTGTTAATGCAGCAGTAGAAGCTTTTTTTAGACTAGCACAGGATTCGCCTTTGAAGTACACTCAGCTCTAAGCTCAGTTCCATCTCTGGCATGTCCCCCCCTCAGAAAAACAGCCTCCCTCTGTAGCCTCTTCAGACACACAAGCCGTGGGCTCCAGGCTTCTTCTGGCTCTGTGATCATCCATCTCCCCAGGTGCATCACTGGGTCAATTCACTGTGTGTTATGAAGCTGTGCTTGTGTCGAGGGTGGCCAGAATCTCTTCTGGTTGGAACTCAGAGACAGTTGACACAGGGCAATGTACAAACTTCTTTATTTTATTATTTTTCTTCAAAGACTAGGTAGAGCAGAATGGTCACCATAGGGTGGATGGATGGAGCCCTTCAAGTCTTCCCTGCCCCTTTTGCCTGCATCTTTCACCCCACACAGACCGGGAAAGGAGCATAACCAACTCCCTGCCAGCTCCCCAGGTTAAACAAAAGACTCGGAGATCAGGTATCCCTTTGGCTCAGATTCAGCTACACAGCTTGCCTGTCAGCCTCCCCCCCCTTCACACCCCACCCCCGCCTGGCAACAATAACCTGAAGGGCCTGCAGGGAGCTGTGTTTGCACTGGATTGGCCGTATAACTCATTTGCCCCATCATTGTGATAGATGCCCTTGGTGGTTGCAGGTGGGACGAGGACTAGCCAATTAGACACAATGATTCTAGAAAGCAGATGGAACAAGCAAGGCAGAATGGTTCATACAACCCCCTTGGCTTCGTGGGTGGGCAGTCAACTTCCTCAACAGATTAGTGAGAGGAAAGTAGAGAAGAGCAACTCCATGCATATGACAACTAGCTCTTGGGCACCAGCCAAGGAGGGGACAGGATGCATTGGAAGGCTGGAGTCAATTATTTTGTGACAATAGTGAATTCCCAAAGGATGTCCTATTGTAGAAGCCATTTGAAAAAAATGGCCCGTAGTTTAACTGATTCTTGGGAAACAGATTCAAACATTTCTCCTGGTTTCATGGCAAGACATATTTGTTCCCCAAGGCCTTTACAGCACATACACTACTAATTTGTCTTGTGATCTCACACATCCATGTGCTTGGAGGAAATGCAAGAAACATTCAACCCGCCTTCTCACCCTGTTATGCTATTCTCTCTCATTCACCTTTCACCCATGAATGCTTACAAATGGTCATTCTCTGACATATAAACATTCATTCATAGCAATGACAAGCAAATGCATCGGGGAGTGTGATACACATGTACCTCCCATTGTAGGCAAGCCTTCTATGTAAGTTCTATGGCTATAAAAAGTGATGGAACCAAAAAGAATCTAATCCTCAGCCTCTGTAGGGAGTCAAATTGGTCAATCTGAGCAAAGCAGAACCATGACACAGGATACGCCTTCTGTACATATGCATGTCATATTGTCTTTATATCCAAAAGGGACTTCAACACAATAGTATGACACTGCTTTTATCATTTTGGCAAAAGCAGCTGGAATCTACAGATACCCATCAGTCTGGTGACCTAGAAGGATATCTTAACCTTTATAAGTGGGATAAGGTAGAATTCTTCAGATATGGTGAGATTCAAGTTGAAAATGCAGGGAAATGAATCCCAACACAATTACAGGACATCAGGTTGGGAAAAGCTGGTTGAGGGAGACTGATCAAAAGGCATCACTGAACTTCTTTTGACTTTTATCTCTTGTTCTTTTCTTTCTATTCTTTCTCTTATTCATTTACTCACTCATTCACATACATACATACATAAAACACATATACTCTCTGCAGTTCATGTAGATTTCAAGTTGGAAGCTGATCCAGCTCCATTAAGTAAGATTTGAAGCAGAACATTAGGGGTTTCTCCCGGCTTCTTCAGTGACCTGGAAACTGCGTCCTGCAGCTCCTCCCCCTGTCATGGAAACAATGTCAGAGGTCAAAGATCAAGGGGGACCAAAATGGCTCTTCCCCAACAGAGGATGCTGAAATGAGGAGCTGCAACACAAATATGCCTCCTGTGGTTCAGTGCTTCTGCTCTTATCCTAGTAGCTGAGGAAGAGGCTTAGATTTCTGATTTGTATATTTTTTTTGTGTGGGAATGCCCTACTGACATTTGCACGTGGTGAAGTTAGGTTAAATTTTGTCTCATTTTCGTGGGCATTGCTACTTCATGTCCTTCCAGTATTCTACGACATGGTTTTTTTTTTTTGCCTCTTCTTGCCCAGAATGGAGTTCTCAGATTGGTAGGGTCCAGAGACTTACTAGTAGTTCTGTCTGCCTAAATACCAAAGAATGAATATAGTGGTAATTTTGTCAACTGAGAGCAGCAGCGTCACCACAGTGTGGGAAGCTGGCTTCAGCATCAGCCCTTTGCCCCATGTGAAAAGTAGATTTATTGCAATTTTCAATATTCAGCCAGGAGGATTATGTAGACAATAAACAACTTGTGTTCCCCTGGCAAAGTCCTGCCACTTTGGCACAGAGTTTACTTGCCTAGCAACCAGCATGAAACTTGCAGGATTCTCACAATCACACTCTTTTGTCCTATGGGATGACTGCAGACAAGCTCACATTATATTGACAAAACAGGTGCTAATGGGCTGTCCCCTGACCACCTCCAACCTGGTCCTCTTTTCACTTTACCTGAGGACCTTTTGTTTCCAGCTCCATGGGGCTGCATGATGACCATCTAATGAGTGACTAGCAGAGACAATAAGACAAATAACAGGTGTTTTGGGTGATTTACCCTGTTACAGAGATACCTATGCAAAACATGTTGGGCGGCCAGAGACACAGACAAGCAGGCAAGGGGGTAAGGGGATGGTCCCTGACCCCAAGACGCTCCTTTATACAGCATGACAGAGCGCAGCCTGCAGAGTTTTTAGCGTTGATAGTATTGCAGTCTAACTGATATGGCTTTAACTATTAAGGAAGAAAGGAAGGATAGAAAGAAAGAATGGTGGATTTTGGATGCAGGGAGATAACTCCCAAACTCAAACTTGACCCCATCCCCAAACAAAAGTGGAAGGGACAGAGTACCAGGAAAATTTACCAAATAATCCAGGCCTTCCTTCTTCCCAAATAAACACAAGAATGAAAACTACAAAACTTCCCCATAGAAAGATGAACGTTTGATTTTGTTTTCAGCAGTGGCCAAGGACTGTTGGTATTGGGGAGAGGGCAGTAGGCCAAACCAGCAGTGAGGCTTCCTCCTTGTCTCATGGTCACCCTTTTTTGTGTAATGTTGTGGCTTTGAAGAAACAATGGGGAGAATCGGCCACGGTGTAAATGCAACAACTGTGCAGTGAAGGGGAACTACTGGCATATGCTAGAGAGTGGGTAGGATGCCCACCACACTCCCAGGCCACATTGGGCTGCAGAGATTGAAAAATGGGAAAGTTTTCTCATAGACCACGAAGGACCTGTCCTTTGGAATCAGCATGTGTGTCTGGGTATGCATGCCTGTAGTCTTTCTAGACACTTCAGTGAAAAAGAAAAGGGAACAATTTCTATCTTGGATGCAAGAACAATTCTGCTAATATTTGTGCTTGCCATTATGTTTCCATTGGGAAAGAGATTATCAGCATCCTAGGATCAAGCTATGACAGGGATGGGTTTACTGGCTTTAACATAGACCCTTTGGTCTAGTAAGTAGGCAATTGGAACTCCCTGGCCTTGAGAGGCTATGCTGCTGTTTCTATAAATGTTAGTGCAGGGATCAAGCAGCCCAGGTAATTTTCTTCTATTAGTAACTCAAAATTCTTTGCAGTGGGCCTCCATGCTAGGCGTGTGGTAGGAGTTTGATTCTTTTCAGAAATGAGCTCTTCCTCCACAAGCATATGACAAAACTATGATTTGCCAACAGCCCTAAAGTTAGGCTTGAGAACATTGTGTGTATGTGTATCCAACTGGTCTTTCCCTTGGTCAGAGATGGAATGTGCAGGGGCTGCCTTGGCCCCCATGAATTAGGCAGGAACAGCAGAACAGAGATTAACAGGCCACAATCTCTGTTTGGCAGTCAGCACAGGGCTAAGGAATATGGGAGAAGGAGGCAGGCTCAGAGGATTGTGCTGGGGCCTGGCTTCCCTCTGTTGCCTTCTCCTCCAAAACCCCATGAGGTTGCGTAATTGAATTTGGTCCCAGTTCCCATTTGTTTTTGCTTTGATTTGACCTTCTAGCCAGCTGGCCCTTTGGCACCACAGAACTCTATTCCAGCTCTGTGTTGGGAAGGGAAAGCTCAGGTGAGGGAAAGGAGATAAACTCCTGGCAGTGCCCAGCCTGTGACTCCAAGGAATCCAGCAGCCTAGAGTGATGATAGCAAGAGGACAGGGTAAGGAGTACGTCCCGTGCCTGATGTGCGTCTCTTGGGGACCGAGAAGAAGGCCTGGGAAAGGCCTGTGGCACAAAGACACGTGTGAAGTCTCCCCTTGAAACAAAAACTGGAAAGGAAAATGCCCCGTGAAACCCCAAAAGAAAGTCCCTTCACCACCCAAAAGCCTGAACCAAGTGTTGAGCTGGCAACACCAGGAAACTCTGGGTGGGATTTGGGCTGGTATGGCGGCTACTTCTTGAACATGTCCTGCAATGGACCTGGCAGATACTTGAGCACCGTATCCAGAATGCTCTCCTCATCCTCATCTTCATCATCTCCACAGCCAGCTGGGATGGCTTTCTTGGGTCGTGTCAGGCTCCCCTCACAGGGCTGTTCCAGTGCTGCCTTCTCCTCTGCCTCTTTCTCCTCTTTCTTCTTCAGGCCGTACTATGTGGGGGAGACACACAAGATTTCTCAGAGAAATGCAGGAGAAGGTGGATCTTGACTGCAACAACATTGGGCCTTGGGTCATAGGTGTCCTAAATTAAGATTGCATTATCTTAATCAATGAGGCTTCTGAAGATTAACCAGCTGCTCCAGTAAATGACATCAGCTGCTTCCATAGTGATACAGTCTGTTCTTAGGGTTACAATCTGGAACGTGAACACTGTACAGAAAACACCTTTATATTTTACTGATAATTGAGACAAAAACTGCAACTTCTGTTGCCTTTATGTATTTCCTTTACTGTCTAAGTTAAGACAGAATCTACACTGTGTGCACAGTTATTAGGCAAGTGAGTATTTTGACCATATCATTTTCATGCATATTTCCACTTCCAAGTGTATAAACTTGAATGTTTAGTGGATGTAAGCATATCAGATGATATGTATTTGTGTAATGAGGGAGAGTGTGGCCTAAGAAGATCAACACCCTATCAAGGTGTGCATACTTATTAGGCAGCTTCTTTTCCTCAGGCAAAATTGGCCAAAAAAGAGATTTAACTGACTCTGAAAAGTCAAAAATTGTAAAAAGTCTTTCAGAGGGATGCAGCACTCTTGAAACTGCTAAGATATTGGGGCGTGATCACAGAACCATCACACGTTTTGTTGCAAATAGTCAACAGGGTCGCAAGAAACATGTCGAGAAAAAAAGACGCATATTAACTGCCAAAGATTTGAGAAGAATCAAACGTGAAGCTACCAGGAACCCATTATCCTCCAGTGCTGTCATATTCCAGAACTGCAAACTGCCTGCAGTGCCCAGAAGTACAAGGTGTTCAGTGCTCAGAGATATGGCTAAGGTAAGGAAGGCTGAAACCCGACTACCACTGAACAAGACACATAAGTTGAAACAGCAAGACTGGGCCAAGAAACACCTGAAGACAGATTTTTCAAAGGTTTTATGGACTAATGAGATGAGAGTGACTCAATGGACCAGATGGACAGGCCTGTGGCTGGATCAGGAATGAGCACAAGCTTCACTTCGACTCAAAAGCCAGCCAGGTGGAAGTGGGGTACTGGTATGGGCTGGTATTATTAGAGATGAACTATCTAGACCTTTTGGGGTTGAAGATGGACTCAAAATCAACTCCCAAACCTACTGCCAGCCTTCCTTACCTTGGTCATGTCTCTGAGCACTGAACACCTTGTACTTCTGGGCACTCCAGGTAGGTTGCAGTTCTGGAATATGACAGCACTGGAGGATAATGGATTCCTGGTAGCTTTACATTTGATTCTTCTCAAATCTTTGGCAGTCTTTTTTTCTCAACACGTTTCTTGCGACCCTGTTGACTATTTGCAACAAAACGTTTGATGGTTCTGTGATCACGCCCCAATATCTTAGCAATTTCAAGAGTGCTGCATCCCTCTGAAAGACATTTTTCAATTTTTGACTTTTCAGAGTAAGTTAAATCTCTTTTTTGGTCCATTTTGCCTGAGGAAAAGAAGCTGCCTAATAATTATGATCACCTTCTGTGATCTTCTTAGGCCACACCCTCATTACGCAAATACACATCACCTGATATGCTTATATCCACTAAGCATTCAAGTTTATACAGCTTGGAAATAGAAAATATGCATGAAATTGATGATATGGTCAAAATACTCACTTGCCTAATAATTGTGCACACAGTGTAGATGGGTCACCAAGTATTGAAACAATACATGGACTCTGAATTAATCAGAGGTGACACTAACCCTTATCTTTTACATTAAATGAAAAATCTGGAAAAAGTATTTTATGCTTTTTCATTCATTTAGAAAGTAACTTCCTTGCCCACTCAGTTAAGGATGGCTTACAATAACCACAGCTAGCATGCCAAATGACTATGCTGGATGTGAGCAACGACAGTTATAGTTTGAATGACGTTAAGGCCCCATGTTGGAAGATGGATTAAATGGTGTAAGTTCTACACTGGATATCTGGCTAAAGTATTTGAGGGTGCTATGTGCCTGCATAACATTTCCCTCTCTTCTCATGACACAGTGAAGAAGGGCAGGGACGTACAAAACCTAAACAAATGCAAAATGTGAGTTCTTTTGCATAACCTGTAGTCTTTTCATCTGCCCCTGGTAAAAAAAACATACCACAGACTGATCCCTGGCAGCCACGAATGCACTATCTACATCTGGAGAAAGATCTTGAGAATTGCAGATAAGGGCCCATTGCCTTAATATTGCCATTTCTAGGGTGAATAATAAAGACAAACCTGCAGCACCCCTGCTAATAATTTGAGGATGACTGGAGCCAAAAGGGGGGGGGGTTATGATTGGCAAAGGGAAGGACTCTAGAGAGATAGCCTACCCTATCTTCTAGCAAGCATGGGTTTTGTGGAATTGATGCTAATTTTGCATACAATTATCTTTATACAGGTAGTCCTCGGCTTACAGCAGTTCATTTAGTGACCGTTCAAAGTTACAACGGCCCTGAAAAAAGTGACATTGACCATTTTTCACAATTACAGCCTTTGCAGCATCCCCATGCTCATGTGATCAAAATTCAAATGCTTGGCAACTGATTCATACTTACGACGGTTGCTGTATCCCAAAGTCATGTAATTACTTTTTGCAACCTTTTGGCAAGCAAAGTCAATGGGGAAGCCGCATTCATTTAACAACCGTGTTATTAACTTAAACAAGTACAGTGATTTACTTAACAACTGTGGCAAGAAGGGTCGTAAAATGGGGCAAAACTCACTTAACAAATGTCTCACTTAACAGAAATGTTGGGCCTCAATTGTGGCTGTAAGTCGAGGACTACCTGTATATAAAATAAATAAATAAATATATTTCCCCTTATATACATATATATATTTCCCCTTCCAGTTAGCTCTTTTTCATTCAGTTTTTGGTATGCTATCAATACGGAGGTTCTGTGGTCTTCTCTTCCAGCCAAACTTATTCTCAATCTTATTGGGCAGCTCCTCCAATTTTACTCCTTCCAGTTTAGCGGATGCTTTGCATTCATAGCAATTTTTTATGTATACAATATTTCTAGTCTATCCCTTCTTGATACACCTGTTACACATAATGTTTTCAATTCACATTTCTATAATTGCTTCCTTCAGCTGGGATATTTTCCCTTTAATTCTTTCTGGTATCAGCTTTGACATCCAGCCCTTGCTTTCCAAGCTTGATTTGCTCTGGAAGAGCTCAATATGAGCACTTCAAACTTCAAACGATGCAGAAGACTGATGGAGTAATCCTATCAGTGCTGGTTCTCTCTTGGTGCCACAGAATGAGGAACTGGCCTAAAAGAGGTTAGGGAAATGAGTGACTAGGTAACACTTGTGATGAATTGGAGCATGTCTTCATTGAGCTCACTGTCTATAAAGAAGGGCCAGGCATTAATATTTTTAAAAGCAATGTAAAAAAAGGGCAGATACACCGAAGGGGAGCAAACAGCATTGGTTCAAATTCTCTCATCTCTGCATAATTATTTAAAGGGACAGCAGAATCTGCTCATGCTCACTGTTACTGTCTTAATTTTAATGTTTTAAAAAAGGCAGATGACAGAGACTGAACTTTGGTTATTTCCAATCGTCTATATTCTTCTCTTAGAACAGGGCTTTTCAACCAGTGGTATGGGTACCACCTGTGGTACATTGGCACGTGGCAGGTGGTAAGCGACCATCCTAGAAAAGTGGTAGTGGGGGAGGGGAATGAGAGCACCGCCGGGCGGGCAGGCAGGTGTCTTGCTCGGCTGTGCCTTGGGGGGGCCACTTTTTTCAGTGCCATTGTAACTTCGAACAGTCACTAAGCAAACTGTTGTAACTCGAGGATTACCTGTACTTTATCACTTTTTTTCTTCTTTTTTTGTCATCACGTTTTTGACACCTTGCTAGGCAACTGGTGGTACTCGGATATTGCCATATCCTAAAAGTGGTACAAATGGTGAAAAGGTTGAAAAGCCCTGTCTTAGAAGACAAATAAGCCAGGAGGAGAGGAGTGACTGAGTGAAAGAAAATGGCAAAAGAGGATGCCAAAGAACACTCTTATCAGCATCCAGATTCAGCGCAGGATATGAGGGCCCAAAGACTATTCATTTATTTATTAAATTTACATGCCCCTTGGGACCATATGCCAACACTTTATGAATGATTCTCCTCTTGCTACAGTGCAAATAGAGCAACGGGACCCAGAGAAGAACCATTCATGAGCAAGTGCATATAATCCCGGGGAAGAGCTGGCCTGGAAGCGAGGCTGGATCATATCACTCTGCTGAACAGACTGTCACTTTTCCAGGGATGTGGCTCCTAGGTCTGCCTTCCGGAGATGAGAAAAGGAAAAGTGAAAGAAAAAAAAAAAGGTAAAAAGGAACAGTGGGTGGGCACTGAAGCAGTGAGTCTAGACTCAGCTGGATGAATGACAGTTGCTAATAGCAGAAACCGGCCTTTCTCTTAACATCAAGAAGCTGAATATTGGCCAGCTTCAGTACATTTAGGGATTATCAGCAACAAAAAGGAAGTTCACATCAAAGGAGCTCTAAGATGGTAATCTTACGGCCTGGCAGAGACCACTTTACCTCTAGTTGTTGGACTCCAATAAAAGCTCTTTAAACAATTAGAGCTGGCCCTGGAATAAGAGCTTTGGCAAAGAGGCTGTTCTTTGTGGAAAGAAAAAGAAGGAATAATGTTGAGAAGGTGAATGAGTGTAACCATGTTGTGTGCAGGTGGGTTTCTCTTTCTTTCATCTGGAACTGCTGCAGCAATGCTGGGATGTTCCCATGGGGTACAAGTAGATTCAAGGGCTCATGGCAAGAGTCCTTGCTGCTTTAATTCACTTTCCCTCGGTGAAGAGGGACAAAACTGTGAGGCTTTGTCCTCAATAGGCAGGGTCAACCTACTGGCATAATGTTGCCAATCAAGGGGGAAAACAGGATTCAATCCCTTACCAGGGAGCAGATGATTTCTTGTCTATGGACTGTTTCTCTTCCCATTCTCTGGATGCCACCCTGTTTCTGGGGAGGAATCATTTCCAGGTATCAGAAACCCTTTCAAGGAGCTGATCCCTGAGGGTATCTTTCAGGAATTCAGTTGTTCCATGCATTTCCCAAGGCACAGGGCAGTGAATGGGTACAGCTGGCTGAACCCCATGGACATCTGGCTGAGAATGGAAATGCTGGACTAAAATGGGCCTTGGTCTGATCCAGCAGGGCTACTTTTATATTCTTACCTTCAGGTGCTGGCTGCCCAGGTGCCATCTTTGCCCAATCTTCATTGTAAAGGGGAAGCCACATTTCAAGTGCAATAGAGACCTGAAGGTGCAGCCCTTCAGTGGGAAGGCAGATGGGGGCAGGGTTTCAGGGAGAGAGCAAAGGGGTTCAAGGAAGGAAAGGGACTTTGCTTGGGTCTCTAAGGGCCAGATGGAGCAACTAGGAAGGGTTTATCCCATGGACTGGAAGATCTCCATTCCTGCTGTAGATAATTGTCCAAGATGCTGGACCTGTAAGGGATATTATCTATTGAGTTTTGCAATATTCCCATCTCCTGTAATTGCTCTAGCCCGTGCTAGACAGAAGCCCTATGCCATGGGAAGGCTACATTAGATATGACATGGTTATATGACAACATTTCTGGCTTCCTTTCTCCCTTTATTAAAAAGCTGATGCATGAATGGAGTTGGAGTGGCCATCCAAATGTCAAGCCTTTGGGGCAGAATTACTATACCTTCAGATGTTGTTAAACTACAACTCCCAGAAGCTGATGCATGGCCAATATTAAAGAATGGCGGCCTCTGTAACAAGGCATGAAGAAGTCAAAACGATGACACTGATTATGGAGTCATCATGAAAACGGCATGTTTATGTAATGACATCATGACGTCTGAGGCAAGTATGTTCCCCTCAATTCTTATTCCTTCATGGATGCCCAGTAGGAGAGATGCTCAGAGTTATAGTTTAACAACAACCGCTTACAAGTTACAACTTTTTCTGGGTAATCAATGCATATCTCAAATAATTCAGGTTAGATTGAGTGGGTCCTCAAAACTGAGTTTTGTACTTTAAAAAAAGAAGCCAAGTCTTGGCCATCATGATCAAGAATAATCACTTCTTCAGTTTTCTAAAACTCAGTCTCCCTACTCTCGATCATTTTCTTGCCATTTCTTCCAAACCACTCCCTCAAGATCTTAATGACAGAGAGATTAATTGGAAAATGGCAGGGAGGTGACCCACCTTATCACGGATTTGCTGCCGAACCTTTTCCCGTTCAGCCTCCATGCGGGCATGCTTTGCCTTGCGCTCTTCCTCTTGCTGGCGTAAAGCTTCTTGTCGTTCTTCTTCCTTCTTTTGCGCATCGGGGTCTTTCTCCTCTTCTCCTCCCAACATTTTACCCATGTCCTTCGTGGCCCCTGCACATGGCATGGTTTAAAACATAGTAAGAGGGACTGCTGTGGGAAATCCCCATTTCTTTTCAGTATTTCCCAGAAGGCTGGTGTTATCCACTTCTACTATTAAGGAAAAATAAGGAAATGGTGGATTGACAGATGAAGTTTCTTCAGGCAGGCAAAATGGCTATGAGCTTTTCCATCAGCCTTATTAAAAAAACCTGAAACCCGGTAGACATTATTATTATGCGCACTTTCTTTTCTAAATGGAAACCTAGATGGGTGCTTTAGGCCTGAAAGAGTGACTTTGAGGCAGTCACACTCTCTCAGCTCAAGACACCTCACAGAATTGTTTTGTGAAAAAAAACCGAAGTATAATGCCAGAAAAACATGATAAGCAAAATACATATTTGATTCTACATGTGATAACAGCGGCAAGAATTATATTTGCACAATATTGGAAGAACGAAGAAATACCACCAGAAGAAGAAATAATAATAAAAAAAATTAGACTGTGTGGAAATGGACAGACTTACGGTACTTTAAGGTTGAAAGAAAAAGAAGAAATAGAATTTTTTCAAACTTGGGACCTATTTTATCAATGGTTAGAGAAAAGATTTAGGGATTAGGAATTTAATTTGTATTAGTAAATAAGATACTCAGACAACACGTTTTTGTTGAACTCTGTTAAAAAATAATAAAACTTTTTTTAAAAAAAGAATTGCTTTTGGGGGAAAATGGTAGGAGAAAAAAAGTATTAGATATGCTCACTGCCTTCAGTTATTTATAACAATAATAAAGAGGATAAAAGCAAGCAAACAAGGCAGAATCTCAGAAATAATAATCTCCTTTCTGGTTGTGAGAAGTCAGTATTATCACTGAGACAATTAGTAAATTTCCTTGGCGGACCTCTAGGGGGAGCTCGGATGCCACAAGACATCTGAATAAGAACACTGAATTTTTCAGAAGGGCCTCTCTCTTTCTCTCATATTTGTCTTGGTTTTCCCGTTACTGCAACATTTCTAAGCTTGAACACAATATTATATAAGCAATACTTTTGTACAAAGGAATAGCCACGATTGTGTCATTGTGGGCAAATGCCTGGACAGCTCTATCTGCTTAAAGAAAATAAAATAACAAGAGAAAACATCTATATTAGCAATGAGTAAAGTCCAAAAGCTAATCAGACAGTATACAGTAGCTGTTAAGGAGTTGGTCTGGGACTCAGAAATCCAGGTTCAAATCCTATTTTGATGTTGGAGCTCATGCAATAAAATTGAGCCAGTCTTTTCTCTCAAAGCCACTATTTTATAGACTTTTTATGGTGAAGACACAGTGAAAGGGGATCTACTTTGATCTCTTAGAAGCTCTAAAGCAGAGATGGATAACTTGTGGCCAAGTCCTCTTTTTTTTATAGACCTTGAAACTCTCTCCAGTCACATCCATGGGCATTCACATTCTGTAGTAGATGTCATCTGAGAACTTACCAGGATACTTTTTTTGGGCCTTCTCTATTGTAAACTCTATGTCAACACTGCAACGATCCTGGCCAAAGCCATTTTGTTTCATTTTCTGTTGCCATAGGACTGGGAGGGGGGATGGGTGATTTTAATGTTAGCCTAAACAATATTTTATCCTGTGGGAACCAAGGTCATCGCTGCCTGGGAACACTTTGAAGGGAACTTCAGATTTGGTTTCACTTTTGACTGTGCCGATACTTTGTAGCCAATAAACATGTTCTTTAAGGAACCCTCTAGCCTTGGAGTTCTCCTTTTACTGATCTCATCTATCGGAACCATGACACTCTATGTTTCAGCCATGGGAATGAGTTACTTTTACTTCCAGCTGTGCAAATTCTACAAATTTGGTAAGCACTATACATATGGGAGATCCTACCTTATTTAAAGAACAGAATTCTGGATATTCACTGTAAAAGTCTGATCTTCATAAAATAGGTTGTAGACATGTGTCACTGCTTGAAAAAAGATTTCTGAAGAGCTTGGAAAAACAACTGTTGATGCCTATCAGACTGAAAAAGTTTACAAAACTATTCCCAAAGTGTTTGTCAGGCAATTCATCACCCTTGTTACCCTCCCTAGGAGTGGATGACCAACCAAGATCACAGCAAGACCACAGCATATTATATTTCAGGACGTCTCAAAAAACCCCAGGGTAATGTGTAGGGAACTAAAGGCCTCTTTTGTATTGACAAATGTCAGTGTTTGTGATATTACTATCAGGGGAATACTGAGCAATAAAGGTGTGCTGGATGGCAAGGTTGCCAGAAGAAAGCCACTGCTCTTCAAAAAGAACATTGCTTCCTATCTACAGTTTGTGAAAGACCATGTGGATAAACCAGAAGACAATTGGAAGAATGTTCTGTGGACGGACGAAATCAAAATAGATTTTTTTTTGGCCTGAATGAAAAACACCATGTTCGGTGAAAGCAAATACTGCATTCCAGCATAAGAATGTCATCCTATCTGTGAAACATGGTGGTGGTAGTATCATGATTTGGGCATATAGACCCAAATTTGCTGCCTCTGGACCAGGACTTGCCATCAGTGATGGGAATATGAATTCTGAATTTTACCAACAAATTTTACAAGAAAATGTCAGGGTATCCGTCCTTGAACTGAAGCTCAAAAAAGTGGGTAATGCAGCAAGACAATGACCCAAAACACACAGGTTGTACCACCAAACATTGGTGAAAGCAGAAGAAAGGAATGGCCAAGTCAAAAGTCCTGACCTTAATCCTACAGAAAAGAGGAACAGAAGTAGACTTTCATGCAAGGAAGCCCACCAGCATGCCTGAATTGAAGCTGTCTGCTTCCACCAGAAATTCAGTCTTATCAAGTGCTTAGAATAGTAGAGCTAAGAGAATATTGTGAGGAGGTAAGACTTACCCCCTAAGGCTTGTTTCATCACAAAATCCATACTGCTGGCCACGTTAGTGAGCTCTAGGAAGTTGTTGAATTCTCATCCAGTGCTACTGATGGAAAGCTTGGAGTCAAGGGCTACCTGGGAAGGGAAGGGAAATCAAATGAGCAGGATGAAGTGAAAAAAAATAATACAGTGACTGTTGAATTAAGCTCTGACCAGTGAGTCATCCATTCCTTCACTCTGGGTCCAGAAGCCCAGGTCTAATGCAATATAACCTAATGTAATGAATAGCAATAGAAGAGTAACTGAGCTGTTAAGAGGCACAAGTGTACCAGACTTTAGGTGTGTTTAAACATATTATGGTGTCATATCCATCCTTTCTACAGAAATGAGCATAGCTTCAATATTTTTTTAAAGTCAAAACTACAATCAGTTAAATTTATGGATGTATCCCTCATTCTTTGGACCCTGTAGCTTTTCTGGCACCAAGGATAATGTTTAGATAATGAACACAACAGGACTGCAAAACTGCAAATTGTGAACCAGTATAAAACTTTAACCATGGAACTACAACGAACTACACACTCTTTAAAACTCTGCCTCTTGAATCTTTTTATAGAGAGAGATGTTTATCGCAATATATTTTGAAGAATAAATGTAGCAAATAAGCAATGCACAGCCACGTCTGAGTTTTGTAATGAAATGCATTAAAATTACCTCTAAGTGCTGTTCAGCTAAACTAGAATTTAAAATGTCCCATCTTTTAAAATTTGACAACTGTCCATTAAGAACAGAGGCAGTTTATCCATTATGAAATTGCACTCTATGGATTATGCTGACACTTGACAAGCAGCATGTAGGAACTACCATGGCTCAAATGAAGTTAGCATCTGCTGATAAAAATTCATGCCATGAATAATTTGTTACTATTTAAGCCCCACAGATGAATATCAAAACTAATAATTGTTTTTGCTGCAAGAAGCAAATATAGCCAACTTTCTAGAATGCATTTATTTTCTCAAGTGATGTTTTAATATTAAATTGAGCTGATCACTGATAAAAAATTATTTTTAATGGTTTTGATAAAAAGTATTGCAAGCCTTCTTGTTTTGTAGATTAATTTCTATCTACGTCTCTTGTTTATGACTGGTCCATGTCTAATATTGGCTGAGAACGTGATTGCTAGAATATTAGATCTCAGGGTGTGATGAAGGAGATTCCATCTTGAAAATACTTGATAGTCTGCAAACCATACCTAGACTTTATAAAGAATTGATGAGTGCCACTGTATTTCCTAATTAGGCATTTCCCACCTCTTGATACCAAATAATCCCTGATTATTTGTGTATTCCAATTTTCATCAGCCTCTGCCCACTTCCCTGAGTCTGAAAATTAAAAGCAGCCTCAACTACAAAGAATAGGTTTATACTGCTCCATTTAAATGCAATAAATACCTTTTCTACTGATTACTTTCTTTAGGCAATGCCTTGCTGGGAGCAAAGGGAGCATTTATTAGGTATCATTTCCAGAGAATGAGATACATGCTCCAATGCATGTTGCATTCAGGATGAAGCCCTACCCAATTTATTGGAACTTAGTCCTAAGTTTGTGTTAGTTTGAATTATGAAAGAAAGCTTTACTCCCAAGAAGACTTAAAACATAATTCTGGATATAAAACTGGAAAGTTCACAAAGATAAACACACACATATATAAAACTAGTTCTCATTGTTATTGATTATAATTCTAACCTGTCCTCCCTCCCCCCCGAGGCTGATTGCAACAGTGATCTGGGTGGCTGGATCGCTTTCAAATACCTAGCATGATAAGCTAACTTTAGTAAGTAAATGCAAATCCTTTTTTCCATATTCTTTTTTTCTTGGTCTTTCTCCAGATATAGTTTGCCAGGGATCAGCTGATTCTAGGAACAGATCTTTGAAGAGCTGGCGCAGCCTGTTTGATTAGTTTCCATCCATTGCTTCTTGTCCTGCCTTCAAGTGCTTTGGAGAATAGCTTGACTCCCTCTTCTTTGTGGCAACCCCTAAGATAATGCTAAATGACTTTGTTGTTATATGCTGCCCATATGATTCAGTATCTGGTTCATCTGGTTCATGTAGTACTGCAGTGATATTGTTATGGAATGCGCAGTCCAGAAAATAGCAATAGCACTTATCATGCTTTACAGCCCTCTCTAAGTGGTTTACAGAGTAAGAATGTTGCTCCCAACAATTTGGGTCCTCATTTTCCTTGGAAGAATGGAAGACTGAGTCAACTTTGAGCCAGTGAGACTCGAACTCAGCAATCAGCAGAAGTAGCAAAATATTTATATAGATAATAACAATGTGCATGCCTTTCAGTTCTTTAAGGTGTATTTCAGTTGTCTCCCCCCCCCAAATAAAACTCTGGATTTTATCAGCCTCCTTTGCCATATAACTATACTGTTAACCGATGCTCTCTTTATCATTTGGAATGTTTATGTCACTCCAACATTTGCAAACTTCCATTTGTAAAAATGTGGCCTGATTGGGGGGGGGGAACCCAACAATACCTGATGTAGAGAGCTTAATCTGACTCATTTGCTCTAATCTTGAAATGTGGGTTGCTATCTATCTCTAGGAAACTGTGCCGACAACTCACTTAGACCTGTAATTGCTGTGGTGAGCTGAGGTGAGAAATCCACATCTCTCTATGCTAGTTTCTAAAATGGAAAATATGAACTGATTTCTTTAGATCACGTTAGGAGTGATGCATGTCCTTGTGTGCATTTTTTCCCCCTGCTGTTGACTTTCAGGCAGCCTCCCCACAAAATTGATCCTGTCCTGTCCACCATAGATTAGCTACTGCCGTTTCTTAGTAATTAAGATCATTTTGGAAGGCAGAGAACACTGCAGCGGTCCAGGTCACAGGAGATAATGGCTTGTTAGCAGTGTGGCGTATTCTGTGTTACACTTAACATCAATGCTCTATTTTCCACAGTGCTTTTAAGCCCCACCACAAAAGCAGTATTTGTAGTTCTGGGCTATCTCTCTCTGATGCGGTGCTTTGGTACAGAGTCAGTCCAAAGAAGAGGAGACTCATCTGAGCCAGTTACAGCAACGTTCGGCAGAAAAGTGCCCCAAGTCTCTGTTGACTTGAAGGAGATGTAAGATTATTAAGCTACAGTTTGCAAGGACTGTATTCTGGAGGCATAGTCTCATTAACAGAAATGGACTTCCTTTAGATTAAGCAGCGACAACTGCAACTTAATTTTTTTAGAATCACATAGAGAGAAGGAGCCACCTTCATAGGAGAATGGCATTCCAATAGGATGCAGGAGAAGAGCTGGAATCGTTTTTTTCCACTTTGAGTACATAACTGTCTGTGGGATAGTCTATATCTTAATAAATGAGGCTCGGAAAATAAGGTCCGTAGAATAATTCCCATTGAGTAATAGGCAAGATAAATCCTAGCAATAATAATAAGCCAGGGAATAATAACTGTTGGAGACAGAAAGGGCCTATGAGCTCATTTGTTGCAACTGCCCACTAATGGCAAATAAAACTGGCTAATATGTTCCGAGCCTACAGACCATCTGGCTGAATGCAACTTTCTTTTCACCAATCAGCAGCATTTGTATTTTGTGTTTTTCAGATTGTGGGAGAGAGACAAATTAATTATAAACTAATCAATGATACTCCTCAGAAATGAAAAAGAAGAGGGATGGAAGGTGATACTTTCAACAACTGAGTGATTCACTGAACAGCAGTGGCAAAAAAAAAGTCATAAAATTGCGTGCAACTCAATTTTAACAACTATCTTGCAGAGCAATGGAAATTCGGGTCTGAATTGTGGTCATAATTCAGGGAGTGCAAGGCAATTTCTCTTTTTTAATATCCTTGGGTTAAAAAAAAACTTTATAAGGGCTTACAAAATTATAGTAACAGTGGACAGTTTGACTTTTTAAATAATTCATTAATGTGGTAACTAATGTATCCATGAACTTTACAGGATAAAGTTCTTCTTTATCACCACAATTACCTTATGTATTACAATTTTAGTTCCACTATGTTTTGTTTGTCACCATTTTTCTCACAAATATTCCCCCTTTTGTAGCAGAAAAGGGGGGTTAGGCAAAAATTTGGCAAACCTGTAACTAAATTTGATTTTTAGCCAAGATTTCTTAAGGATAATTTTCTCTCTTTTTAGAAAGAGTGTACCAGTTTGGTGTACTAGTTAAGGCATCAGGCTACAGACTGGGAGACCAGGAGTTCTAGTCCCACCTTAGGCACGAAGCCAATCAAGTGACCTTGGGCCAGCCAGTTTCTCTCAGCCCTAGGAAGGAGGCAAGGGCAAACCACTTCTGAAAAACCTTGCCAAGAAAACTACAGGGACTTGTCCAGGAAGTCTGAAAACTGGACATGATTGAAAGGAAGAAAAATAAAAGAGACTTAACTTTCTCTGCTGATATTTCATCATGCCAATAAATAGAATGGGAAGTAGCAGTTAGATATTGCATAAACAGGACAGAGTGAGGATCCTGGTATAATGACCGATCATCACAATAAGAGAAATACACCCTGAGATTTTATGGAACATTCTATAAACAGCTCCTGTCCATTCATCCTTGGACACTTGGGTAGAAACAATATTTTAGACACATGCAGCAAAAGAGAGAGTTTTTTCAACCAACAAGCCAATAAGCTCTCTTCCCTCAACAAATCACCTATAGAGCTTCAGCAGCTTGCTTCCTGTGTGAGTTGATGACAGTCAAGCAAGCCCCTCTGTAGATCTGCCAGGAATGCCAATTGCCTAGCCTCGGGACCAGGTTCTTCTGCATTGGCTGCCACACACAGATTCAGAAATTAGTTCTGCTGTTGTGTTCTTTATCTGCACTGCCCTGTTAAATACACAAGCATGCTTGCTTCCTCCCCGCTGTCTATGCACGCGTGTCTCAATGTGCCTTCAAGACACATGATCTTATGATCTCCTACAAAGATGTCTCTAGAAAAAACATAGAGTAAAATTAGATCAAAGATGGATAACAATTATAATTCCAGATGGTGGGAAATTTAACCCCTTTCTCTCTCAGGAGATTTGAGGAGCCTGAGGAAAACACCTTCTTAGAACGGAGA